TCTTCCCAGTAGTGTTATCAATATTAAAGCTCTGTAAGTTTCAGTGTACAAATAATTACTCCTTATATTAGTTAAATATGACAAGCACCAAAATTCACTTCGAATATTGTGATAAATTTAATCTGAACAATATAACTCCATCTTAGCATTTTATGCTGTGATAAATTCAGCCATAAATAAAAAAGAATTATCAGAATAATATTTTCATCTAAACATAATAATTAAGGATAAACATACCATTTTGCCTCCATCAAGTAAGATAGGAGAGCTACAAAGACTCGTATACAGCTCTTCCTTGGTCGCATAGGCCACAGGATTCACTGATCTGGAGATGATGCCCTTATAATCATGCGGCAACAATCCCTCCCAATCTGGTTCATCTACTGCACTTGAAGAAGAAGATCCAAGTTGAATATTCTGATCATCGTCAATCAGAGTACTCCACCCAGATAAACTAGGGGATTCAGAGCAGGAACTTGGTTCCCTCGAGGAAATATAAGCAAGTTGCCTGAGTTGTTCCCTACGGAGAACAACTTCCACAAGTCTTTCCCAATTATCATAGATATTAGACATCCCACTAGAATTATTGCAAGTTTAATTACTGATTTCTTCACGGTTTGTTGTGCTGATTTTAATCCAGAAATGTAGCCCTGTTTGGGCTCAATTTTAACGTGTTTGTGATGCCGGCAATCAAGTAATTTCATAATCCCACTTGTTGCCCTAATTTTCCTGGTAAGTTCAACATTGACGATTCAATACGTCGATTGATTATATTATTTGGATTGGATCGGCCCTGTCTGTTTGCAATTTTCTGAGCCAAAAAATTGATTTATTGACCGTTAATAGCAACAAGGGTCCCACCACAGAAGGTTAACATTTGTTGCTGCAATGGTACAAAAAAGACTGAAAATCTAGGGGAAAATTGCAAACAGACAGGGTAAACTCGTCTTAGAGTTGACATCGACCAATCTTTTTGCAGTCGATGACCTCTTGCACCCTAATGGCCTACTATAGTTTGTAGGCGAAGTTTGGGTGGATGGGGAGGTAGCCGAGTTTTGAGGTCAGCAATATTCAATGTTCTTAAAAGCGTAAAATGTGATTAGGAGTGGATGTCAAGTTTCATGTTTTACAAGCCTAAGGAAGCCTAAGCATAAAAAGGCGTTTTATTATTTTTAATATTATTTTAAAATTTTCATTATTTTAAAAATTATTTAATAATTAAAATAATACATACCAAGTATTTAAAATTATAAAATACTCAGTGGTTGTTTGGTAGGGATTAAAATAAGATTTTTAGTTGATTTTGATAAAAGTTGATGAACTGTGTGATTGAAAATTTGTGGATTCCATGAAATGTGTGGTTAAAATTAATTGTTAACTTTGATTTGAAACTTTAATTGAATTTTAATCCAAACCAAACAGGGGCTATATTTACTTAATAGTCACTACAATCAGTCAATTATACAATTTTCATGTTCTTGAAATGCAAAAACTAGATTATCTTCATAGTTTCAATTTCAATTAGACAAGTCCTACTTTTCATGGTGATGTTGAACAAGCAAAAGTCTTGGTCAACTACTATCCATGATTGAAGAATAAATAAAATTGGATTCTTAGTTTAATTTAGGATAATTATAAAACCAATATATCTTTTGTGTTACAACCGTCTAATTTGATAGAAACTAGTACATTATAATTAACAATTGATTCTCATGGGATGATAATTCAACTCATCACATTATTACTTGTCATGATCCCGTATGCTTGGGGTTTTGTCCGAACAACATGCTACCGACTTCCAATAGAACTCTCAATAGAATTCGGATCACACTCAAACTATAACATTGGTATTTCGGTCCATAATCGAGAAACATGGTACACAACGGCTCTAGATTAGTTAAAATGCAAATTTTGTTAATTAAATGAAGGGAATTGGTAAGAGTGAAGATGAGTAACTTTTTTAAGTATGGGTGAGCAATGAGTAATTTTTTTAAAATTTGGATGAGCATTGATTTAATTAATTCGATTTTAAAAGGGTTTAAAGTCAACAATGAAGACGCTTTATTTCAATTCCAAATCTAATAAATTTGACTAATTTCGTGAGTGATTGCAACCCTGTATATCTATCATTTGCTCGCCAATTATTGAACTCCATTCAATTTATTTCAATCCAGAGACGGATATAAAATGTAGGCTTTAAAATGTCAAGTGTGCAAAAAATACAATTGATTAAGCAATAGCAGCATTATAAATACAAAACAACTCAATAAAATATTATTATAAAAATTAATAGAAAGGGAATAAAATTTTACAATTTATTATTATTATTATTAAATCAAATAAATTCAAAAAATATAATATTTAAAACGTTTTCTAAAGATGGATGAATGGTGAGTAACTTTTTAAATTTGGTTGAACCTCTTCAACAAAGTCCAATGATCATTCATTTAATTAACTCTGGATTTAGATGTCTATTTCTTTTAAATAGCTATTGACGCAAAACACTCACATTTTGACTACTTTTCATAAGGCATGTGAAAAATGAACATTCATCACACTTTCCTCTAATTATTGCACTGAAGCGAGACATTCAATTTTTGACTATTTTCCAAAAGGCATGTGAAAATGGACCTTCTTCACACTTTCCTCCAATTAAT